AACCCTGCGACAACCCAAACCCCCCGCCTCAGATCCTGAGCTGGAGCGACGACACGGGCGTCACGGCTCCTGGACTCCTGCTGCATCTGTGGAGGCAAGAGGAGGAGGAGCTGGGAGTCCAGAGGAGCAAACAGGGGGCGCTCACAGGTAGGTAGAGTAGAGTAGATCCAAACAGAGTCCAGAGTGTCCAGAACTAACAGAACCAACGATGACTTCCTGTTGTCTTACAGACGTCCAGAAGCCTCTGCTGACTCAGTACCAGGAGGACACGCAGCTGTCGTATCCAGCTGACATGCCCAGTGCAGCGGTGCTGGATGTTTCTGAGAACCTGAGGTCAAAGATTTACTCCATCTTCTGCAAAATAGGTAAATGTAGAACCTGAGCTGTGGGGTGTGGTCCACAATCTAGAACGTGGACCACATCTCTGTCACATTCGAATGTAACCTGCAAAAATGTAATGACATAGGAACAGGCCATACATCCTTCACGTGGCCTACTGCAGGTCATAGGTCATAGGTCATATCCTTAGACCTGAAGTTAGTGCCGCCTGTTCACTAAGGTGATGGGTTAGAGCAGTGTTTCTTAATTATTTTCTGCCATCCCCAACCATTACTCTTAGCATTTGGTAATAATTATTATAAGATTAATGCAGAGAAATTAGCTGCAATGCTGCCATCTATTGGATTTTACTTTCACATACAGACGTTTTTCTCCCAAACTATTTTTAGGTCACATCATTTGTCAAAACCCAGGAATTGTGTTGTCAGGTTTTCATTATCAGAGAAAAAATGGATAACGATTCTTATAGATATTACATAATTATTCTAATATCGAGCTGATAATATCCATCCAACAATTGTTAAAAGTCACACTGTTTTTTTGGTTGTTTTTTTTTTTCTTTTTTTAAACTTTTTAACTCTCAGGTTTTCAGGACCTTCCTGGACTGAAAACCAAAGACTACGTGACGTTGAGCATCGTCAGGAGATACCTGGACTTCAAGGTGCAGGAAACACCACAATTATTCACACAATTATGAGTTAACTGAAAAAATCCACAGTACTTTAAATGACTTAAATTCCTCCCGCTGTGATTGGTGCTGCAGGTTGGTGAGGTGTGGCAGGAGATCAGCAGGGAACTCGTTCTCGACGAGGTCCAGCCGATCTCACCGGACGAGGAGGCGCTGTCCAACATCTGCAGGACGGCCGAGGACAACGCCAGGAAGGTGATGGAGGAGCAGAGGAGCATGCTGGAGCGGCAGGAGCAGGAGAAAGTGGGCGAGGAGAAGCACATGTACACAGAGGTGCTGAGAGCTGTCCACGCTAGAAAGAAGTAACACAAATATCCATGTTCCTCAGCTGTGGTAGAAAAACGTGAGGCGCTTCCAAATAGTTTCACTCCAAAGGTTAGCTGTTTAAAACCAGAGTAGGACGCAGAGAAGGAAGGAGAAAAACAAAATAAAAGATCAATCTGCAGAGGCAGCAACGCAACAGAGACAAACTAGAAAATAAGACGAGAAGCAGAGAAAAAAAACTACAGGAAAAAAACAGAGAAAAGAACAGCAGTAGTTTGAAATGACCATGGACTAATATAATGTCAAACTAATGAACAGTGGCAACAATACTGAGTCAGGCCTGTAAACATGTCAACATGTGGTTTTAACCATTTCAATAGTTGAAATAAGAAGAAGAGAACAGATCTGTAACAACATTTTAATCCAACTTCCAGTGACAAGAGGAGGAGAAGTTATAAATGATTATTGGATAAAATCATAAGAATCTGTTGCTGATGAAGAAGCTGATAATTTATATTATTTTCATTGTTTAAGAAAAATAAATAAAATAAATATTTCCCAAAATCTCAAAAACAGAAATAGAAATAAAATTAAATCAAAAGAAAATAATATTAAAAATGGAAATGTGAACAGTTTAAACTAGAAATAATGAGGTTAAAAAAATTAATTAATCTTCTATGTGAGCACATTGCATTCACTTGACAAAAGAAAATTAGACACTTTGTCTCACAATAACAGAATATTTCCTGATAATTACGAGAACATGATGTGGTAATTATGTGGTGTCTAATTCTTTCTTTTATCCAGTGAATACGGTGCACAACGTATGTTTCGTTGTTTTCAGTTTGACCAACTCTCCTGTAGAACACAGTAGGAACCTGGAAGGTCAGTGAGTGATCGCAGAGAGGGTCAGCAGAGTCAACGTCTTCGAAAGATGAATTAGATCACCGTCAACGTCTTCGAAAGATGAATTAGATTTTACTTTTAAAATGTACAATCCTATTTAGAGGGAAAAAAAGTCGTAAAGCACAAACAGCAGCTGTTCCGTTCACCTCTTCACTCTCGGTGATGGATGGAGAGATTTTCTGACTTTTCTTGTGATCACGGCAGATGAAGACTCACTGGAGGCAGCAGGAGCTCACGGCAAAGACCTGGGACTCGTACCAGGCCAAGACGTCCAACTACGAAGCTCTGAAGGTTTTTATACTCCACTTCACATGTCTCGTACCTGACCTCAGTGATGACTCACAGTTCTAGTTAGATCTGAATCTTATAGATATAACAATAACGTAAAACGTCTCTTGTTCTGCTGCAGAAAGTCAAAGCCCAAAGGAGAAAAAACGTAGAATTGTTCAGACACCGACCAGGAGACGAGGATCTTCGTCCTGAACAGGTAAAGTGTCAGACATGATCTACATCACATTATTTATTCATTTAAAAGTTCATAAAAATAAAATAATAAACAACAGGAGACAGAAATCTCTTAAAAAGGCTACAAATAATTTACTAAAGTACTTGAGATTTAGATCATTTAGATTTTAAATCTATTGAAAAGACCTTTGTGTGCTTGTGTTGTTGTTTTTTTGTTTTTGTTTTTTTTTGTTTTTTGTTTCTTTTTAGGAAAAGAAATAAAATAATTCTGAGAAAAATTAAAGCTTTTGTGTCATGTGTGTTTCTGTGGCCCAGGGTCAGAAACTATCAGGAGAAAAACAATTAAAACATTTGAAAGAATTATTAACAGAATTATGGTTTAGCAGAATACAATATGAAAACACATTAACCAAGCTAGGTAGCCTTTAGCCTACGGAAGATTTAGCCTTGAAAAGGGGGCAATAAATATAAAAAAACAATTGTTGCCAGATTTAAGAATTTGTTTTTTTAAGTAAGTCTAAAGTCAGTTTAATGTTAAATAAATGTTAATGTTAGCAAACGTGCCTATTATTAGCTTCTACAAAAGAACCCAGAAAAGGCAAAGAGTTTAAAGTCGGAGGTCAGAGAGGTGTTCACCGAGACGGTTTAAAACCAGAGGAAATTAAAAAGAATTGAAACCGTATTAGTCAAAACAGCTAAAGTAAGCTAATTAGTGACTCAAGGTTAGCCTATGTACGCTAACAGCAGCCATATAAATAGAAAACATTTAACATTTAATCACATTTAAGGAAACTGGTTTGATTCAAAACACATGAACCGCAGTTCAACAGTTCCTCTGTGTCAGCGGAACTCATCGGTTCTAAGGTTGTAAATTGTGCTAACACGGTTCCTGTGTGTTTTCCCAGCATTTCCTCGGACACATCGTCGCAGTGGAGAAGGGTTTAGACGGTGGTTCAGGTCCTGCAGGGGTGAGGGTGACTGTGGCCAGAACTTCGATGAAGGGAGCAGGTAAGGACCAGGACCAGGGTCAGGGTCAGGGTCAGGGTCAGGGTCAGGATCCACTAACCCCAGAACCACAGATCATTCCAGAAATGAATGCATGAACCATCAGTTCCACACTATTGTTTCACACCTTTTTTTCTGCAAAGACAGTCGTTAATTTAGCTAAGCTAATCAGCTTCTTTATTAGCCAAAGCCACGCTGTAAGAACTAAAGAACTCTTTACGGTTCTGTTCCAGAGCTGTGTCGCTCGTATCCTCACCAAAACCACCTCCGTTGATGATGTCACTCCTCCTTCAGCAGCGTCGTCGGTTCCTGCTCATTTTCTTCACCCGTATCCATCGCACTGTCCTCGTCTCTACATCACCCCCGTCTCCCCTCCTCCCGCTGTGACC